TTTTCTCCGCCATTGTAGTGCCTGCAGCGTCTTCGGCCGAGTTAGGGCTCACGTGGCACTTTTTTTCGACCAGATATACCTAGATATACCTGTATAGAAGTTCGTGACCTAGATGACGCGTTCCTGAGTGCAACAACCATCCGCGTTAACTTAGCCACTTCCCGCAGCCGCTAAATTGGTATGCAGCGGGAGCGATAAAGGCGGCGTTTGCAGCAAACGACGCAGATGTCTTCACTCTCGGTCCGTTCGATTCGCCTGCACCACGTGAACCAGTCACGAGGTGCTGCACCTTGCCATTCGTTTCAGCAGTGTAGCAATGACGGCCTCTGAATCCTGCCATTCGTTTCGAAAGGTACAGAAGAGGTGTAGCACTGGTTCATGATTTTTTTGCACCTCCTACGCTGACGGTGCCGGCTTGGTGCAGCCGCTTGTGCAGTTGAGCAGACGACGCAGTACTTAGGCGTAGGCGCCGTCCCCGCCTCTACTAACGCGGTGTGCTTTGCCAAGATGTGTGTGCCGCATAAACTGTCCACATGTTCGGTTTACCATCGTTCAGTGTTAGCTGAACGATGTAAATTAAGCGAAAAGAAATAAGGCCTGCACCTTGTCGGCACATCGTCATTCGTTTCGGGTGTCGTGCTGTGCCTGCACCGCTGAACTCACGCTGCACAATTTCTGAACTTCACGTGCACAGCCGTGAACCGGTTCTGACTGGTGCAGGTGAATCGAACGGACCTTCTGAGTGAAGGAACGACAATCGAGGTGTTTTATCCTCTCTCTCTCTCTCTCTCTCTCTTTCTATATATATATATATATATATATATATATATATATATATATATATATATATATATATATATATATATATATATATATATATATATATATATATATATATATATATATATATATATATACGCATTTAAGTCACACGTCACCACCCCCTCAACAATATCCCTTTCGAACAGCCGCTATTTTTTACGCCGTGCATTTTTTGTCCAACTACGTTAGACTTGACTAGTTTTAAGACCTCATATTGTCGAAAAGGTGAAATTTACAATGCCCATCAGTACAGAGGCACGCTATATTCAGTTTTGCCAACTGTAAACGTTCGGTGCAGGGCTACCCAGGATTTTTTTTTTTTTTTGAGGAGGGGGGAGGTGCAGCAGAACGACTATATAACTTTGGCAATTGGTGGCTGCTGTGATTACGTGTAAATATTTTAGTATACCCTGAAAAGTTAAATTACGGAAACATTTCGTGGTGTAGGGGGTTCGGATTCCCTTCCTCGCCCCTCTCTACTTACGGCCTCCTGGTTCTGCATGCGTTTGACAAGGTTTTTTTTTTCATCTCACATCTTTCTTAGCGCAGCTGACTTGCAATGAATCGACTCAGTTAAGAAATATTTTAGACGCCTGTTTAACAAAGAAAGAGTTGATTGGTAAATACTTAGAAAACACGTAAAAAGGAAGTTGACTGGTAAATACTTAGAAAACAGCAGGTGGCCAAACCAAAAAGAACTATCGGTTAAGAAGAAAGTGAAGGAAACGGAGACTGACATGTGGAAATTGGGCATGATTAGGAAGTCCGCACTAGAGATCTATCGAACTTTTAAGCAGGAAATTGCCAAGGAAAGGATCTATGATAGTACTCGGGGTAGTTCTCTACTGTTTGTGGCCAGGACGAGAGTATTGCGAACCAAGACATATCGGGCCAAATACGAAGGGGTAGACACAATATGCGGTGCGTGTGGAGAGGAAGAAGAAACTTCCGAACACTTGATAATGTTCTGTAAAGGGCTTCACCCTATAGTTCAGGATGATGGCGCAGAGTTTTTCAAAGCACTGGGGTTTAGGGACCGGGAGGGCAAAATAGACTTTAAGCAAGCAGAGTTAACTAGAAGGAGGTTATCTGATTGGCGGCTAAAGTCAAGGCACGAGTGAAAATTAAACTCTTCACTGCAAAGTACGAATCCTCAAACTCACTTTTTAAGGAAAAAAAAATAAACATAGTTTTGAATTCATTAAGTATTATGGCTTAGTGGCGCTAGCCACCGCCCAATCTAAAGGGTACATCCATATTGATCCATTTATTCATCCATCCAGAAGGCCCTTCGGCGCGCCGATGCCGCTAGGGGCGCTAATGGCAGTGGCGCGAGCAGTGAGCGGCGCACTTCGCAAAGTTTTCCTCAGGTGCGCTGCTTTTTTTTTTTTTTTTTTTTAGAGGCGGTAGCTGCTTTACAAGTACTTCGTCAATCGGTGATTGAGATGGGTTACTCTGAAATGCCTGAATGCGTCAACGACAAAAAAAAAAAAAAAGTAGATCCTGCGTCGCTGCATTACGCTTGTCCGCAAAACTTAGTGCTTCAGTTCAGCCTCTTGAAGAGTCCCAAGGGTGGCAACGTGGATCACTTAGGGAAAGAGTCGCTTTGTCTGTAGAAAAAGTGCTGCATGAGATGGAATAAAATCAGGAAGACTACAAAAGACTTCCATCTGATGCACTAGCAGTGTCTGTCACCCATGAATCATGCACCACTGAGCCGTGGATGGTCGCCCTGTATATTATGTGGCAAGCTACGATGTGAGAAATCTGGTACTTCGTAAAAATCGTGAAGAGTGCAAAAACGCCTGCCTTGTTTCGCAATGTTGGTGGTTACGCGTTATAAGTAACACCGTTGCTGGTGTAGGACGTTACTTCGGCAATTAGTATTTGACGCACTCGTTATACATGTAGAAATGGAGCTGCTACTTAAATTGTGCGAGTTGTAGTTGTCAGCAAGTCGTTCCTGCAACATGGTAGCGTCATTTATCAGATATGTTGCCAAAATAAAATTTGCTATTGTTGATAGTACAGGTCGCGGAACACTAAGTTTTCAGTGCCTGGAAAAGCAAGGCTCACGTTTCCATAAACATTTTCAGTTCTAGCGGACCCCGTGTAGGTTGAAGGGGCAAAAATTATTTACACTGCAAATACCTGCGATTATGGTCCGCTAGCACATGCAAGCTGCCAGATTTACTGCAATTTTCTCAGGTCAGTGATCATATATTTGCAGAGAGGGTTGAGGTGGAATTATATTTCGGCTTTCTGTAACAATGAGTAATGGATTTAACATGGGCCACGTTATTATAAGCCATCACATGCAACTCTCCGGTGCACATTAGGCCACTGTGTTCTACGTCCGGCATCTTGTGCAAAATTCTAGTTTAATTCACCTAAATTAGCTATAGTTGTTTCAGTCAGAGACATCACTTCTTTTCTTTCAATAGGTCGAGGAGCACGGGACTAAGAGCTCGTGGGATGGACAAAGCACCGACCCAGTCACAAGTTGGCAAAGCAGCAATACATGACAGACATTCATACATGTAGAATAAAAAATAAACTTTACAAGTATAAAATAGCACCGAGTACGAATACAAAAGTTATGAAACAAAGCTCCACAAATAGAGAGCAAGGGAATACATATGTATCATAACTTGGCATGAACATTAAAAGCAAAAATCAATAAGTAAAGTGATCGAAATTCCGGAAGATCTACTATTCAGGAAAGTGAATTAGCTGGGCGAAGCATATAATGTGACTATTTTGATTATTTAAAATTACACACATCTACAGCGCTATAGTTGGGAAATATACGTAAGAAATAATTACACATAATATTATAATGAAGTGTCAGAAATCATCAGGATCAAAACTATACACTAATACACAGAGACATTACACTAAATGATACAATACAGTAATAAGAATTATTTAAAAATGCGCAAGACAGCCAATCGTAGCGACATTTCTTGCAATATTTAAATTGATTCATAGGAAGTTCTCAATGGCAGAAGAAAGGACAAAGCGTCAATCTTTTTTGTGGTTTAAGGTGGTTAATAGGTAAGGTAGCCTGTAGGACAATGTTCATCCTAAGCGCTTCTAGGAATAGGTAAAATTCACATTTAATTCTTCGTGCCTAGTGAGACAAACACTAGGGTTTTACGTTTATCTTAGCAAGATAAATTATGGTACTACAACCCTGTTTAACGATTGCTTCATGACATGTCAATTATAAATACGAGGCGCGGGCACATTGAATCAAACTTTTGATCTTGGAGTATAATCGATAAAGAACCCCAGGTGGTCAAAATTTCCGGAGCCCTCCACTACGGCGTCTCTCATAATCATATGGTGGTTTTGGGACGTTAAACTAAACATATCAAGGCCTTTTCAAGAATGGTTTTCAGACATGAGACTTTAAAGAGCTTAGGTGCCATGTACTGCCCTACAATCGCTTGATCAAAATGATTTTACCGAAAACGGGTTACCACCACACAGCGTGGAAGCAATTTTTGTGGAGAGCGGCGCGTGCTGTCTCGTTTGGGGGGGGGGGGGGGGGGGGTTAGAATGCTTGCTTTCCACTCAAAAGACACAGGTTCGAATCGCAGATGTCGACGGTAAACTTTTTTATTCTCAATTTCATTTGCACGGCTGAATTGCTTGGCTTTATTTTTAATGTAGCTTCAGTTGCTACATGCTGTTACGAAAAGTAACGCAAAATGGGAAGTAAAAAAGAAGAGACTTGACAGCAAGCGTACTGGGACTTGACCGGCGGCTCTCCAGTACGCGCGCTGTCAAATGAAAAAATGTAAAATGAAACATATCGCCCTCGCAGGGAGATGCCCCAGTAAATTGTTCTTTGTCAGTTTTGTCACATTTCTGACACACACGCATGCATTGTCGGTTTCACGTCAGCGTTATCGCGCAATGTACATTTTAGCAAAGGAAAAAAAAAATCTACTGTATGAGTCTTCTCGATTATAAGCACAACTTTTAGTTGATCAAAGCAGTGAGCGAGCCTTGTTGGTTATGTAAATAAATTATATAGTCTAGTGTAAGTATGCTCTAAATTGCCTAAACAATGAAACGTTTTTTTTTTTTTTTTTTTTCGGTGAAACCTGAAGCAAAACCGAAAACGGAAGTTCGGCTGCTGAAAGCGCGAGATGGCAGCAGCTGATATCCGTTTTCTGCAATCGGCTGCGGTGGTGAGCAGTCATATGATCAATACGGTGTGAAAATGTCTCAGCTCCTGTTTAACATGAGCAATGGTTACCTCGAAGGCTTGGTTCGAGGCTTTAAAGGAGGTATCCTCAAGCAAAGCGATTACTTGAATCTCGTGCAATGCGAGACCCTCGAAGGTGAGAAAACAGTCCCCCTTTTGGTAGTACCCCTTGGCGTTACACCCATCGCTGCTACTTGCCACCCAATTGATATAGCGGATGTGCTTTATAATCCTAGACATGATAAGCCGTGCTGATGGTATTCTACTTCCAAAGTAATCCTCTTTTACGCCTTATTCACCAGCTGGTATTTATCACTATTTGCTGGTTGGAGCGATGGTGGGCTGTGTTGACATCAGCAGGTTGTTCATTCAACTGCTTGCCGTGCTGTTCCTCGGGACCGTTTTCCTCGTTAGTATGATATATTAAGTGTAGTATGTGCTCGATTATATTCATCCTAGAAAACGCTGTAAGAGATGTGAGACTCTTCCACATAGCGTTGAAGTGATGTCTTGGTGAGCTCCTTTGCGTCTCATACTTTTTATTGTCAATTGGTTGACGACAGAGGTAGTGAAGGGTGAAAATTCTTTAGGGTCGTTTAATATTTTCTGTAGTTCAGGTTGTTGCACTTCTAGTAATACTGTAGCTGGATTGCTTGCTTTCCCATAGGTATTTCGTGTGCTGCTTAGTTGTAACATCATTTGTTTTTAAAATTTAGTTCTAGTGTTTCTGCCCATATAATTGCCACAGAAACTTTCTTCCCGTTGTCAAACTGGCTAAGCCCTACGCCACTGCAGTGTGTGTCCAGTGCTTGGTAAATGGTATTGCTATTCGGAACTTCCAAGGTAGCGTGGCACCGCTGTGTGGTGGCGGCCGAAAGTTCTGTTGAGACGATTGAAGTTTTGTACCTGCTTCAAAAAGCAGTTGTTGCTGCTTGTTTTCCTGCATTTGTGGTCGTTTTGCAACGTTTGAACGGCCACGATATAACCGGAATCCTTTGAGTTTCTCAAGTTTAAGGTAAAGTAGACAGAAAAAGAAAGTACTGACTGATTTATGCGAGCCTCGATGCTCACAGCCTATATACACCGTGAGAAAAAGTAAGCCTCCCGTTCAAATTGGCGCCCCGAAAATCCATGAGTGGTTAAGAGGGTTAAAATTATCAGGCAAATAACCAAAGCCTATGAATGTGTGCAGCAGCCATTTTGTGTACGAGTACAACTACTTCATTTTGCAGTTCTCGTGTTTAGATCGTCTGCTTGACATGGTTGCTGTGCAAACAGTACCAGAACTAAATAGGGAATGCGTTCCACCTCTAGAATAGAATTAAATAATCGGTTTCAAAACGTTCATCGCATCATTAGACATCTGAGGCGTCTGCGAAGTGCCTCCGTGACTTTATCTGCAACTATTGGTGTGCGGTTTTGCTTGCTGATGGCGCTTTTCTTTTTTTGGTCGTTCCTACCTCTTACCATGCCATTTTTCATACTTCTCAAACACCGAAACATGGAATGGTAATGGGAGCATCCTCTCTTAAACGTAAAAATTGTATATTACTCCTGATTTTGTTCGTGCTGATTGCCGAATTTATTCTCTTGATATTTTGTTATTTTAGTCAATAAAGCACCCTAAAATCATATTGCCGGTAAAATAACATGGTTCTTGTGCTTTGGCAATGAAAGACAATTTTTTTTCGTGAGCTTACTCTGATTCGTGCCTTTAGGTGAGCTGAACAAGCTGTGCGCAGAATGCAATGCAAGCAAACTGTAAGACAAAGCGCATCTCCAAAAATGTTTCCGACATTACTGAGAAATTTGTACTGAGACTCCCATTATACCAGGCGCTGTGTGCGGTTACGCACAACGCCTGGTGAAGGGCGTACATGTGTGCCTTATTTATAATTTTGTGCATATTTATCTACCCAATGTGCCACCCAGCGTTTATTTACTATATATATTATGTTAGTGCTCTCCTACTTTCTTAAAAACATAAATCGAAGGGCCACCGAAGCGCGAAAAATTGCAGTCGTTGCCAAACTTTCGGGTACAGTCTCTTTCGGGGCGATCATCTCAACGACAGTCATGTTGGATGTACAGTCGTGCCACCTATAAGTCGTAAAAGTTGCGAATAGATGTCGGAATCTGCTCAGTCGGCGCTGCGAAAAATGCTGCCACCAGTGCCCCTATCGCCGCGCCGGCCATAAATGGGGGTGCAAAGAGGGCCGTCCGCAAGTCAATGTGCATAGGCCCTCCTCTTTCGTTGGCCTTGAGGCGTAGTTTTCTAAAAATCAAGAACTTGGCGAATTTATTCCTTCAACGTCGCTTCAGAAAAGTGGGAAGCTTATCAAAACAAACTGCAGGTACAATGCAAAAGATATTTCAGTTATTTTGGCGTGCTCCGGCTGGAAATTTATGTGCAAACTAGCATCACATGACATCGAGCTCGAGGCAAGCAATCCGATGTGCATTAATTCGGTAACGCCTAAATACATTAAACTTGGGCATATACATGATGCCAAAGCGACGATGTGCATACACGAGCAATCTATGTTACGATCAGTAATACGAATCTCACTTTATCTGGCACGAATGGCCCTGGCAATTTTTGCCTTAGCAGTTGCATTTTCCATCGAAGTCTCGCTGCCTGTATGTTGAAATGTTTTATTACGCATGTTAGAATGTTCTGTTGACGGCTGTTTTCTGTTTGTATATACTGCAAATGGTCATACATGCGTGTGCACTTGCTTGGTGTAAAATGAAAGGCAAAACCAAGACCTCCGAGATGGCACCGGCAATCGCGGAGACCAACGGCAAGAAAAACCTAATGGTGGTCGCAATAATTTTGTGATTTACCTTTATGACGTACATGTTTGTATTTCCTAGTTAAAGTTGGAACTTAGAGCCTTCAAAGCCTTACGTACGTAATGTTGTGTGGTGGCCACAACTTCAGATTATCGGTGGTTGCGGCATCTGCGATCTGTCTACTGTTACCACGGTTGTCTGTCAAGGCTGCTCAAAACAATAACAGGAGACCTACATCATCACACTTTCTCGTGCAACCAGCTGTAAAGAACCCAAGTAATTCACTTGCCCAACATGATCGCAACGGCCCGTATCTAGCGCTCTCGCCGTTATGGTTTGCGAAAGCTGCGGAAATCGATAAAATTGAAGTTCTTTACGTTAGTGGCAAGTCGCAACGCAACAGTAGCGTCGACTGGGGTCTTTTTGAGAGAGTGCGGAACTGTTACATCTGTTTTTATTTTCGCCGTAGTTCCAGCGAGTTTGTAGATATTTTTCTGAGTGCTGAACAGGCAAACACATATAATATTTCACTCAATCATTGTTTCGCATGCACTAGTTGCACCCGGTTATGCAGCAAATTTTGCAAGGGACTCTGGCTTTGCACTACTCAAAACTGCATCGACAGGTGGCATTGCGTGTCCGCAAAGCTTCAGAGTTTGACGTCTATAGTAAAGTACCCGGTGTGTTCACATGTCTATGTCATGTGTTCACATGTCGGTGTGTTCACATGTGTATTTGTGTTGTTGTTTACTGTTTCCTTTTCAGACTTGAAGCTTCACCTCCAGAGCACAGACTATGGCAACTTCTTGGCAAATGAAGCAAGTCCTCTCACTGTTTCGGTTATTGATGATAAGCTACGTGAAAAACTTGTCGTGGAGTTTCGGCACATGAGAAATCATGCAGTTGAACCACTGGCCACTTTCTTAGACTACATAACGTAAGTCCTGCTAAGTCTGTTGCCACTGTTGATAGCGTCAAAGCCATCCTAGTTTTTCAACACTGTGCTTGATGTGTTTCATTGAAATTGGAAGCTTTATGCATTTCAAATTGAATGGCCTGTTGAAACAGTTACACCAGACAGTTGATTGACAAACTGTAGGTAGGCATAAAAAGTATAGAAAATGACTGGAAGCATTTTCGATGGAGGTGGAAATGCTGTAGGCCCGTGTGCTCAGATTTGGGTGTACGTTAAAGAACCCCAGGTGGTCGAAATTTCCGGAGCCCTCTACTATGGCGTCTCTCATATTTATATGGTGGTTTCGGGACGTTAAACCCCACATATCGTATCAATCAAATTGAAATGACTAAAACCTATCTGATTTTGTATTACTGAATCTGCGATTAAGTATGCAATTTTACAGCTGTACATATTTTTAATAAGTTATGTACTATAGCGAGCAAAAGAAATCTAATCAGTAAAGAACATTGGTTGCTCCTTCATGTAAAATGTGCTGTACATTTTTATTATGTATAAGCTATGAGTATTCAAGCATTTGCACTTGATGTCTTGGATACAAGTTATCTAAGAAATATTTTGTTTTGGATTTGTATTCAACTTGTTTATGCAACTTTATTTTTTGTATATTGAAACACATAAAAAAGTTCAATAATTCTGAATTGTGTATAAGCCATATTATGTTTTTACACTATTCAGTTATTGAATATTTTTTGTTTGGATATAGAAAATACTAATTTTTATTGAAGTCTACATAAATAAATGCATATTGAAGTAGTGACTGTTTTGAATAATTTTAGTTGTTGTGCAGAAGCACTAATTCCTGAATAAATGGAGCAGCGAATGTCAGGTCAATAATTTCAAGTCATCCCATTAGAATTTTGTACCTTTAGGCAGCATGTAAGTTTGTATTCAGTTTAGACCATTTCATCATGCTTGAATGCTTTTAAAATAATTCTTGTATTACTTTGCCCTATAATATTGCACTCAATGTTCATATGGTAACATTTACTTGTAGCCCCGCCGCGGTGGTCTAGTGGCTAAGGTACTCGGCTGCTGACCCGCAGGGCGCGGGTTCGAATCCCGGCTGCGGCGGCTGCATTTCCGATGGAGGCGGAAATGTTGTAGGCCCGTGTACTCAGATTTGGGTGCACGTTAAAGAACCCCAGGTGGTCTAAATTTCCGGAGCCCTCCACTACGGCGTCTCTCATAATCATATAGTGGTTTTGGGACGTTAAACCCCACATATCAATCAATCAATCAACATTTACTTGTATAGAATTTCTTCAGGATGCCAGAGTTCCAAATGTGTTTTCTATTTGCCATTTGTGCCCCTTTTTGTTACGTATAGTCATGTGATTCCAAAAGTGACCGGAGAAACAGCCACATGAGCACAGATACACAGTTAGTAATAGTACTGGCCACAGAAGATTTTGAAAGTCTCAACAGTGAACATTAATATGACTGTTTCTGAAAGTAGTGTGAATGTATTTGCTTTTTTTTCTTTTATAGAGCAGGATTAGTGTAATCAGCACCTTACTTTTATTAGGACCATGCATAATGAAAGGTGCAATGCTTTGTCACTTGTGAACAACGCACATTGGGATAGGTTTCTTCATTCGAAAGGAATAAAGCAGGTAGCACAAGTCATATGCACATTGCTTTAATCGAGTTGCCTTCTTGACAAAGCGGGTAGAATATTGGGGTAGTGGAAATGACCACAATTTTTTACATTACAACCAGCCTGTCTCCTCAATACATGGCACGTATGTGGCTTTCCCTCAAAACTTAGTCATTTGTCATGCTGTATGGTTTTTTTGTGCACCTCTGCTCTCATGTGGAGTATTTATAATAATTCTAATAATGTGCTGCTTTTTATTTCATTAGTATCATTGTGACTGTGCAGAAGCTGTGACCCGCTTTGGTATTTTTGATTTACAAGAACTTCACTTCATTGTATATACGTTTCTAAAAAACAGTACATGTATCAGAAAGTCTGAATGTGCCTTCCTTTTTTTTTTTCACAATCTTTGCTTATGAAAGGAAAATATTAGTTGATTCTGAACTCCTACTATTTCTCTGATACAGACCTCATTCAATGATGGCTGACAGCCCACTTTGCTTCATTTTTTAATAGTATGGTGAATAGTGCTTGTTCGGTTAGTACGAACCATCATAGCATGGCATTTTTGTGTAGGTTCCAATCGTGATAGGTAGGATTGAATTTTGGTTACTGCAGGTACAGCTACATGATTGACAATATCATCCTGCTCATCACTGGGACCCTGCACCAACGGCCTATCGGGGAGCTCATCCCAAAGTGCCACCCTCTGGGCAGTTTTGATCAGATGGAAGCCATTCACATTGCCTCCACACCTGCTGAACTCTACAATGCAGTGATTGTTGACACACCTCTTGGTATGGCAGTCTCATATCAGTATTGGCTCATCACCAAGATTTCAAAACTAATTTAGGCAGCTTTCCTTTGTATTGACAACCTAAGCAGCTTAATTGATTCTTGCTTAAGCTCCATTCTTTTAGAACAGACCAAAAGAAAAATTATTCCTTTAGTTTTCCTTTTTGTACGGAAACTATCTCGTGTCTTGTAATAAAGTATAGCAACCTTTCTCATATTAAATCATTAAAAATTTATTTAGGGATATATTAAACATAGTTTTCATAAATTGATAGAAACTTGGTACAAATTCAGGAAAAACACCTGAAATATCGCAGAAAGTGGCCTTTTCTCACCATTTCAATTCATATTCTGCATAAAAAAATAGTGTTACTTTTATGTGAACTTTCTCCTTATTCAGGAAAGGGAAAGTGAATTTTTGTAGCACGAGGCTACAAATATTCACTTACCCGTCATGGTTGGATACTTTGGATACTGTTTTAAAGAAATTCTGAATAAAATATTTTTTGCAGAAATTCTCAGCCAGATTAAAAGATTGAGGTCTTAAATTTATAGAAACAACCTTCATTTTAGAATGAAACAGGTAGAAAATAATCAATTTCATGCATTTTTTACAAACTGCCTTGTCTGGCGCCCACGCTGTGAACTAGAGAAGTTGACTTAACATTCCAGTAACAGGAATTCGGGGTGGGCACACTGTGCCATTGGTCTCTTGCATCTTTCAACTTAATCACCTGCACTACAATTTCTAGAACCACCATGATTGGCATCATCAGCAAAGAATGTACTCATGTGATGCAGAGCCCTTAATGGGTGGGCCACGTCTCAGTGTCCATGTGGAAGGGGGAGAGCGGGATGTAAGGGAGATGTTGAAGTAGCAGGACAGGAAAATGTGTGCCCTGCAACCACCATGGTTGCGTTGGATGTCGCGACTCACACTGGCATGCAGCCACGGCACGCTGACAGCTCTTCTAAAATGCAGCCAACTTTTCAGAAATGTGTGAAGTAAACTGTTTATCAGAAAGTCACGTCTTCCAAGTGGAGTTCTAATGTTTATGTTATTTTTCCCTATTTTTCTTAAGTATTCTCCTTAAGTAGACCAGCGGTTACTTTCGTGAGTAAAGAAATAGTTCAACTCGTGAGCCGAAAGAGGCATCACCACCCATCTCCTAGGCCATATCGGACTGTTAGTAGCTATCTTAGGCGGCTTCTGTAGATGTTGCAAATGCAAAAATGGGCCAGCTGTTGTACACATTTAACTTTTAAACGAGCCATAATTGGAGAAAAATAAATGAACTACGTATCCAATAATCGTTAACCTATCTTATGTACAACACAAATTTGAAATGTGCAACAATCTTTGACGACCTTTCTTACATCAACTGTGGTTTGCCTCTTGATATGTTTGTTAGCTCATAGTACATACATGGATGGTAAATTTTGAAGCAGAACACGAGCTTCTATATTTGCAAATTTAAATTTGTGACTGTAATAAGTGTGCAGTTTTCTTGGTTACTTCATTAATTTAGACAATTTGCATGTTAAATGTCACAATTATATTTAATAACCTTAGCATCTGATATATATATAATTTCTTGGTGTGATTGGTTTTGGATGAAATTTTGCAACTTCATGTTTGCTTACATCTTCAACATGGCTTGAATGCTTGGCTTTTTGAAGCTGGTGGTTGGGATGTCAGTTTAGATGTGTAAGGATTCCCACTGCTAACTATTTATGTTGTGCTCATTATTTTGAATATACAGCAGTCAGCTCGTTTAACTTGAATGCTCCGCCGCACGGACTTGACCCATTTCGACTGAAACCAGCACCGCCACACCTTTTGCACTGTATGTTTGCTGCCGCTAACAATAGGTAGAGTGCAGGTTGATTTCGCAAGTACTTTTTTTTTATTTTTGCCTGACCAGCAGGTCGAATACATCTACTTGGCATGTCCGCTTTCGTCACGTTTCACAAGGAGCTGAGTTATCACGCACACACATGAAATTCATTGCTGTATGCTTATCTCAGCAATGAACTATTGCATGCAACAGCCCATAGGCCGAGATAAGCAATGTGGCAATTAATTTCATAGGCGCAAGTGAGAATGTAGACTCAAGCAAAACATAGTGTAAAAGAACCTGCTAAGTGAGTGTGTTCTACCCAGTCAAGCAGAAGTAAAACAAAAATTTAACAGTGAACTTGACTCTCACTCCATCTATCATTAGCTACTGCAAACATGCAGTGTCTAACGTTTGGTGGTGCTGGCGTTAGTCGAAGCGGGTCGAGGCCACATGGCAGAGTGTTTGAGTTAAGTGTGCTGATGACTGTACATTATTTTAAATGTGGAATGCCGTTCTTGATTTACTAATTTCAGGTTGAAATAAGGACCTTTTGCGGCATTTTGGTATTGTAACCTGAAGATGCAGAATTTGTTGTCGACTCAAAATAGCATTTTTTGTGCCCCACATTTGTTTTGTGAATTATTTTGACAGTGATAGCATGATTAAGTTTCCATCTTTTGTTGTTTTGAAGAATATTTTAGATTTATGAATGGGATGTGTACCTGATGGGCTTGTATTACACTGTGCTGTGCAGCACCCTTTTTTGTGGACTGCATATCTGAACAAGATCTTGATGAAATGAACATTGAAATCATTCGCAACACCCTCTACAAGGCATACTTGGAAAACTTCTACAAGTTCTGTGAAAGTATTGGAGGCACAACTGCAGATGTTATGCTCGAAATCCTTGCTGTGAGTAATCTCTTGTTTTTCCTCTCTTGTGATTGCCTGGCAAAAATAAAAGTTCTAACCTGCTTGTTTTAAAGATTGTAATAGTGCGAAATTGTTTTGCCAGCTTGGCTCAGCAGGCTTGTGCTGCTGAGTTCGAGAACACAAGTTAAGTTCCCAGCCGCAGTTGCGTAATTTCGGTTGGTGCGATATACAAGAATGCCTATGTGTTCAGATTGAGCCACACCTTAAAGAACCCTCTGTTGGTCAAAATTAAGCCGGACAGCATTCACTGGAATTGTCACAAGACCATTATTTAATTTTTTTGGAAAACTTTGTTCGAGTAAAGGCTTTTAAAATAGATAATTAGGTTGAAAAGGAAGATGGTACTTGTTGCAAATAAAGGAGGAAGAAGGGGCGGCGGGCACGAGCAACAAAGGGGCGCTGGCTCGTTCAGTTGTTGTGTTCACCTTAGATGTAGCCAGACGATCGTGTCCGGGTCTCCTCTTTCGTTTCTCACAGTACTTATCCAGTATTTTGCATTTTTCTCCAGTGTGTTGATGATCTCATCCATTCTATATGCCATTGGTCAGACGAATCTATTAGCAACGTGCCCATTTGCTGTAGATTATGTACTGTCATGGACAATCAAAATATAAACAAGTTAAGGTTAACTAAAGTACGTTACTGTTTTTGTTTTTACCAGCATATGTAATTTCATCATGATTTCTTCTTGCATGCTTATTTTGTGACCTAAACCATATCTGTCAGTATCATATAATTGGTGGTGAGAGATAGCACTCCCAACTTGTGCATGCAAAGGCTTTCCTACTTCAGAATTTTTTGTTTGCATTTTATTTGTTCTTTACTGTATCTCCAAGTTGATGGCAATGTGGGGCACATCAAGCATGTCTAGAATACTTTTACATAATTAAAGCAGCAGCCAAAGCTTTCAATGTAAAACACAGGGAGGGGTTGATACAAAGGGATTAAGCCCATGACGCATGAAGACAAAACTCTTGAGCAAGGCTTTGCTTCTTGCCAACCTTGGTTATGTAGTTTCCTGCATACTGGGTGCATGGTGTTAGAAGTATTTTAGGTGGACCAATGGCGCCTCCGGAAGCGAAGAACTTCTGCCCCCGTTTTGTGGAGAAGGCCCGAGATGGCGCTACAAGGACCGTGGCTCGGGCACAGGTCGCTTCGGGGCCGCGAAAGCAATTGAAAAAAAAAAACTGCCTTCGTTCGATAATGAGTGCAAAAGTAAATGAACTATTAAAAGCAGCGAAGAATCACTACATATTGACAATACAGCATAGATAGCAGTGGAAAATGTTTAATTCACCACATTGAAGGTTCGAGATAGGAGTATATGTTTTTGCATGCACAAACATCAGATCGTGAATTCAAACAGGTTACTGTAAAGTCCCATTAAAATATGACAAAGTTACTTCTTGATTGAAGTAATGTTTACGAAGTAGTTAGAAAAATAACTTGTTAACCGAAGTCTTGCAGTAGAAAAACGTAATTTCGATTTCTGTCACGGCGGTCGCATTTTGGTGAAGCAGGCCCGAGTGCTGTGCGATGAGAAGTATGTGAACTTAAGCTTTTTGGTGCATATTTAAAGTAAAAAAAAAAGCACGAAAAACCCCAAGACGAGACAGGCGAAACACCATTCTGGGATGCCAGTGCACGTTACATAACATCACATTGTCGAAAATTCTAGAGTGTTTCACTGCGGCGTGCCTCATATTCATATCGTGGTTTCAGAACATAAAACTGCAGATAGTATTTTCATTGTTAACAAGTGTAGTTCTCTCTCGGAGAGAGAAGAACGGCACATGTAGGTCTATAGAGATTTTTCAAAGCAAAGGAGCAACTCTTGACTCACAAACTGCACATTTTATTACAGCGATGTAGAAATGCGTTCATATCTAAATGGCCACAAACACACTAGGACAGCACTTCAACTCAAAGGAAAAGCAGTATTGAAGACATGTGTGAGAAACAAAAGCTGTGCATTTTGACTTCGTGGTAGCAACTTACTGGACTAGTTTCAAAAGCTTGTGCAACTTTTGAGACTTGTTCGCTTCATTTTTTTCATTTGTTTGCAATATTAATGCATACGCAATCCTGCATTATAGTGGAGCACTCGTGCCATCATGTCTACATTATGTTCCTTACATGGAAATGAGAGATTGTAGTTATCTAACACAAAATCAATAGTCAAATCATACACTTCCTTATCGCCGGCATGCTTATGAGATTTTTGCTCGGCTTCTTTCAAAAGATCAAATAGCGGGGCATTAGGGTGCGCAAGTCCTTCTCTCGTCTTCAAAACTACAAGAGCTGATGCAGCTCTTGACAAATCAGATGTCCCAGTCAGTCCAAGTTTGCGCTTAGAACAATTTGCATTTTTTAGTTTTCGGCAAAACCTGCATAAAAAATTATGCAGTTGGTAACACTGTCCGATGCCGGCATTGAGTTAAATACCTCGTCGCACTTAATCTCATCCTGCACCAATCCGTGAAGCCTGTTCTTAAGCTCATCCAAGCGTAACTGGCTGGCCATATCCTCCTTGAAAGCTGATGTTAAATCATGCAAGCTAAGAAGTCGTCGCTCTTGACTGGGAAGTAACTGGCAATTCCCGTACTTGGGTGGCTTTATGAGACTGTAAATGGATAGCATGCTGCATAATTGCAAAAAGGTCGGCAAGCAGGGATGTTCATTTTGGACTCCAGCTTGGCGTAACACAAAAAAACTATTCCAAAACATTTTCGTTAAACTTTGCAGTTAAGACATATTTGAAGTCTAATTTCTTTATCATGTAGTTTGACAGCTGAACTGTCGACAGAATAGTCACTCGCAAGCCCTCGGCAGTGGTTCGTGAAAAAAATATATATATATGAAAATCAATTCGTCCTGCCTTCACTTCTTCCTCCCAATTATATTGAGCCATTGTAGAAAAAACTCTAGCACTTTAAAATCCTTTCTGCCTAATCTTAGACTTTCTTTGGGTGTTTGCTATTCATGGCATTAAAAATGTTAATTCGCCCTGTGAAATCGGTTTTTTTCCGTGCACGTGTTGTAGGCAGATTTGTACTGGGGCACAAAACACTTCTTTCTCATTTCACGACTTCCTCGCACGAACAGCATGCACTCTCATCGCGCACACAGAAAAAAAATGAACACAAGAGTGCAACGTAACAACTACTGCTTTGTCTGAACACCCGCAGGTGCGCCTGGGGAAGTAGGCGTTTGGTGAGTAGCGACACCACGGACCCGAGCTAACGGGGGAGTTTTAACTCCCTCCCACGCCTAGCCGTGCGTGGCTTTGCCGTGTCCGAGGAAAAGGGGATCCTGGGGGTTGAGCCGACGCTGGGTGATTGGACCATTAAGGCCCCCCGGTAGAGACAACACACCCCTTTGGCCCCAGCTTCTCGTAGACGGCACCCCTGGGCTGACCCACCCAGGGGAAATCGGCAGTCGCCTTTTTCTTTCTCTCTCTCCCTACATTTCCGTCTTTATCTCTCACTTTTTATCTGTCCTGTCTAGTCTCTTCCGTTTACTTGCAAACTTCCTGGCGGCTAGGGTTAACCCTGTGCAAATAGCCTACCTTGGCCTAGGCGCATTGGGTTATAGTGGCGTTGTACGGCTGGCGTCTGCAGGTTTCAGCATCCGCAAACTTGCAGCGTCCCCTTGTTGGGCTCCGTGGTGGGTGGCCGCCAACGCTGCTGAACAAAAATAAGACCGGCATGCATAGAGCATTCCCCCTACTGCCTGATCGTACCGGCTTAAAGCGGGTACGCACGGGTGATATAAATTTTTTCACCAGCCAAAAGAAACATATCCTCACTTTCATGTTATCCACTGTGAAAAAACTGAAAAGCAAGCCAGGACCGTCTCTCCTTTCCTAGTTGCTAGATGTCTTACCGAAGCTCTTGGCACAGTACACAAGGTCACCAAAATGGCTAGCGGAGACCTTCTCCTCGAAATCTGTGACAAAGAACAATTTGAAAAGCTAGACCATCTTTCAGATTTCGGTGGCATACCAATAACCGTAACACCACATAGATCAATGAACACAACTCGCGGAGTGGTACCTGACATGGACTTAATTGACTTGACTGAGACTGAACTTTTGGAGGGGTGGAAGAGCCAAAATGTCACTAATGTACAGAGAATCATCATCAGAAGAGATAATAAGGAAACACCGACAAAACACTTAATGCTCACGTTTGTATCCAGTAAACTACCGGAATCTATTCAAACATGGTACACGAAGACATCTATCGGGCCGTACATACCAAACCCTCGTCGTTGCTTCCAATGCCAGAGGTATGGCCATGGCTCTAAAACCTGTCGTGGTCGCCAGACTTGTGCACAATGTGGAGTCCTAGGCCACGTGTCTGAGAACTGCAAACAACCGCCACACTGTGTAAACTGCGAAGGAAACCATGCCGCATATTCACGCTCCTGCAGATTCTAGAAAAGAGGAAAGAAATAATTACATTGAAGGTGAAGGAGAACATTACATTTAAGGAAGCACGGCGAAGAGTCGCTCCATTCTATGGACCTACATACGCTGATGCGGCGCGTCAGGGGGCACCGCCGCACCAGCCCTCGTCACTACTTCGAGGCCCGAAATTCGAACTAATAGCCCGCACGTGCGGGCATACAGTGCCTCCGAGGAGGCAATGGATACGTCGGTACCCTTGGTGCCGAAAGAGCGGCGTGGCTCCTTGGAGCGCGCCAAGAAAACAAAAAAGCAGATAACACGGCCTGGTGACGGCCCTGTTAAGTGAACTCAAGCTCCCTGTCTAAACAGCCACTCGCTTTTCGTACACACAGCACTATTTTACATTCACCATGAACACTCTAATTATACAATGGAACGTCAGGGGTCTTCTCAGAAACTTTGACGACATCCAAGAACTCTTACACAAATACTCACCAAAAGTGCTGTGTGTACAAGAAACACACCTTAGTTCAAAACACACAAATTTTCTTCGTAAATACGTTATTTTCCGAAAAGACCGTGATGATGCCATGACATCATCCGGAGGTGTTGCCATTATAGTGAATCAAGGAATTGCATGCACACACTTACAACTCCAAAGATTCCTTGAGGCAGTGGCTGTTCGAGCAGTTCTTTTTGATAAACTGATCACAATCTGCACTATTTACATTCCTCCTAGCTATCAGTTGCAAAACGTGATTTACACTCTCTAATTGATGAACTTCCGGAGCCTTGTGTTCTCCTTGGAGACTTTAATGCGCATAGCAGTCTATGGGGAGACTCTCGGTATGACGCGCGAGGTCGACTGATTGAACAGTTCCTTTTCTCGTCGAGTGCGTGTCTCCTAAATCGAAAAGAACCAACCTATTATAATCTCGCTAATAACACCTACTCCTCTATAGACCTAAGCATAGTATCTCCATCTCTTGTGCCTCTACTCCAGTGGAAAGTCGTCAGTGATCTGTACGGAAGTGACCACTTCCCCGTAGTTTTGAGCACAACTACAGTAACCGAGTGTCCACCAAGTGTTCCCAAGTGGCTCATAAACAGAGCCGGCTGGGAACAGTTTTATACCATCGCTCGTCTAGGTTGGAATGACATATGTACTTTGAACATTGATGTTGCTGTCAACTACTTCACAGCGTTTTTGATTGATGCTGCAACAAAATGCATCCCACAAACAAATGGACACCCTGGAAAACGGCGTGTGCCATGGTGGAACTCTGAATGCCGAAACGCATGCAAACAGCAAAACAGAGCTTGGAGGCTGCTTCGGAACTCACCGACAGCCGAACATCTTGACACCTTCGAGAAAATAAAGTCTGAAGGCAGGACAACGCGTCGGCAGGCGAGAAGAGAAAGCTGGCAGAAGTTTTTGTCAGGGATCAATTCATACACACAGGAGGCTAAAGTCTGGAACATGGTCGGTAGGATAGCAGGAAAACAAGTACACACACTTCCACTCGTAAACACTCATGGTGACACCTTGGAAGATCAGGCAAACTTCCTCGGTGCACACTTTGAACGGGTATCCAGCTCGTCCCACTATACTGACACTTTCCAAAAATACAGAACAAGAATAGAAAAGCAGAAACTCGAACACAAATCCACTAGATACGAGGCATATAACCAAGCTTTCAGTCTAGCTGAGCTCTGGACATCTCTAAACTCCGGCAGTACTTCTGCCCCAGGTTCTGACAGTGTGGTGTATGAAATGTTAAAAAACCTACCAGCTGAAACACGAAAAACCTTACTTTGTTTGTACAATGCTATCTGGTTTTCAGGCACTATCCCTACCTCCTGGAAAGAGGCTATTATTATTCCCATTTTGAAAGAGGGCAAGGACCCTTCTTTTTAGCTTCAAGTTATAGGCCTATTGCATTTACAACCTGCTTGTGCAAAGTCTTCGAGAAAATGATAAACTGCCGACTCGTACATATCCTTGAAACAAACAATTTGCTCGACCCATTTCAGTGCGGGTTTCGAGAAAGTAGATCCACCACAGACCACCTTGTTCGTATCGAGGCACAGATCAGAGACGCCTTCGTCCATAAACAATATTTTCTCTCTGTGTTCCTCGATATCGAAAAGGCTTATGATACAACATGGCGTTTTGGAATTCTAATAGACCTGTCCCACCTTGGTGTGCGCGGAAGAAGGTTTCACATAATTGAAAGTTACCTGTCAAACCGGACATTCCGTGTCCGTGTGGGCAGTGTTCTCTCCCAAACATTTGTCCAGGAAACAGGCGTGCCACAAGGTGGTGTACTTAGTTGCACACTTTTTATTATCAAATGAATTCCTTGCACTTGTCCATCACCCGCAATATGTTCTATTGTACATTTGTCGACGACGTTCAGCTTGGCTTCAAGTCATGCAACTTGGCAATGTGTGAGCCGCAGGTTCAGCTGGTTTTAAACAAGGTCTCCAAATGGGCAGATGAAAACGGATTTCAACATAACCCACAGAAAAGCACGTGTGCCTTTTTTTCTCGAAAAAGAGGCATGCACTCGGAACCTGACATTCGACTGAATGGGCAACGTCTGTCTGTCAAAGCCAAGCATAAATTCTTAGGCTTAATCTTGGACAACAAGTTGACCTTCGTACCGCACATCAAGTATTTAAAAACAAAATGTTTAAAAGCCATGAATGTTATAAAAATGTTGTCACGTACTACTTGGGGTAGTGATAGGCAGTGCCTCATGAATCTGTATCGAAGCCTCATTCGCACCCGCTTAGATTATGGGGCTGTTGTTTATCAGTCTGCGACTCGAAGTGCTTTGAAGATGCTGGACCCCGTGCACTATTTGGGCATCCGCCTTTTTACGGGTGCTTTTCGCACCAGCCCTGTAGAAAGCCTTTACGTTGAGTCAAATGAATGGTCGCTTCATCTACAGAGAACTTACATGTCCTTTGTATATTTTCTTAAGGTGAAAGCAGACAAGAAGCACCCCTCATACTCTACTATTAATGATCTGTCGAGCTCCATTCTGTTTCAAAACAGGCCTTCGATGAGGCAGCGCTTCTCAGTTCACCTGAAGGGTCTAGCTGAAGAAACTGGAGTGTCACTTGAACACAGTTTAATGGCTCCTGTAGCATACCCGCCACCGTGGCAGTGGCAGACTATAGACTGCGATGTGTCTTTCCTAGAAGTTACAAAACATGCACCTGTTGCCCACATCCGAACATACTTCCTGGAACTTCAACACAAATACACACGTCCTGAGTTCTTCACAGATGCCTCCAAGTCTAACTTCTCTGTGTCCTACGCTGCTGTCGGCCCATTCTTTTCGGATGCTGGCCCTGTACATCCAGGCACAAGTATCTTCACAGCGGAAGCTTACGCGATACTTGTGGCAGCTAAACGCATCAAACAATTACAAATACAAAAAGCAGTAATTTATACGGACTCCCTCAGTGTGTAACGACTCTGCACAGTCTTAAAAAACAAAAAACCCGGTCCTTGTCTCACTTTACTCCATTTTGTGCACACTCTACACACTCAACCGACATGTTGTTGTGTGCTGGGTGCCAGGGCACCGTGAGATTCAAGGCAACATGATGGCGGATCAGCTTGCTGCATCCGCCCACGAAAGCACCGCCATTACACCTTTATCAATCCCGGCCCTTGATCTTAAGCCGTCTCTCAAACTCAGGGACTACTGGCAGAGCGAGTGGGATACACACACACAAAACAAACTACACATTATTAAGCCACACCTTGGTCATTGGCTGCCAGTATCAAAATCGCGTCATATAGAGGTAATACTAACGAGACTCGGGATAGGACACACATACACGACACATACATATCTTTTGTCCGGTGGCGATCCACCATTGTGTGACAGATGTGGTGAAGCATTAACAGTCCTTCACATGTTAATTCAGTGCAAACACTTAGAAACTACAAGAAAACAGCATTTTCCATTACCCTACCGACAACATATACCTTTACACCCTGCAATGTTCGTTGGTAGGGAACCGCTTTTTAGTCATAAATCATTGTTAGCGTTTTTAAAAGAAATTTATAATTTTTATATCATATACCCGGGCATTCCGTAGCACGACCTCTCCAGAGAGGTTTTTGCTGCGGTGGCTACCCAGGAAAGCACTTGCCTCACGGCCCTTGGACGCAAGGGTATGTACGAGTGAGGTACTTGTGCTAATGCCATACATGTCCACTATCGTTTTTCATTATCACCAACTTTTGTCACCTATTCACACCACACACACCTTTCACGGCATGGTGATGACTTTATTACTTGTATGTTTTTACCCGCCTTACTGCGAGGAATTTTATGGCCCTTATACAGCCGCTAATCACAATCATTGTCCACATTCCTTGTCCCATGAACTGGCGCTCTTTGGCCATGAAATGGCCCTTGCGCCAAAAAACACCATATATCATCATCATGCTTTGTCTGAACAACATTGTGGTCTGAACCTTGGTCTGAACGGCGTCCTCTGGCCACTCGCATGGCTGTGAGCCACGTGACTGCTCCTGCCATCTCGTGGCACAATAAAATGGAGGAGCCAAAGTTAAGCGCAGCGAGCGCGCAGCGAAGGCGCTCTGTCGTTGCGCCGATACTTCTAACATCGTGACCAGGGGTTACTAAACAAAAGAGAAAAATGTGCTCAGGTGTATATACTATCTGAATATGAAATCATTTTTTAGCAAGAGGTGTCGGAGGCGACATATCAATAGCGAGGTCGATCTGTAAGTACTTGGGTGTTTTAGACCCTGTTTAGTATTCATGACTATGCAATGCCTCCAGGTGAATTGAAAAGGGAGAATTTGCATTGCTGATTTAGTAGCAGCATCATTCGTCAGTGAATATAATTGCTGTGGCAATTTAAATAATTTTATTTGTTTGACTGCCATTTTACTTTACACATTTTTTACAGCCCCTTTCATGTGAAAAATAATTGTTTGGTGATTGCACTTTGCTCAGAAGGTTGAAATTTTGGTATAACTGAAGTACATATTTCACTGGCTTTATTAATATTGAGGTCTTAATGTATTATGTATTGCCATTAAATTCATTTGGTCGTAATTACTTCATGATGCTTCTCTGCACAAAATTAAAATACTCTTGCTTTCTCTACCCATCTTAAGTATTTAGTTTTCCTATTGATATATGGTTCATTTTTAGACTGTTTTGAGAAGGGTACGGTGAAATAAGTCTAAGGAAGCAGCTATGAAGAAGGTATTTTGATTCTCTGCAACTTTTGCTGCTTAAATGTTAATTGTAGCTTCAGATAGTCCTGTTGATTGTTAAGTTGATGTATTGAACTTGTTTGTAAATTTCTCAAATGCATTAGTGAATTAAGTTTTAACCTATTCAGACTAAATACTAAAGTGTGAAAGATTTTTGTCACCACTTTCATTTGCTGTTTGCTTATGCTCTGCAGTTTGAGGCTGACCGCCGGGCATTTATCATCACTATAAACTCGTTTGGCACTGAACTAACTAAAGAAGACAGAGCAAAGCTCTTTCCCAAATGTGGTCACCTTTACCCTGATGGACTGAATGCACTTGCAAAAGCAGATGACTATGACCAAGTACGGAATATTGCGGAGTTCTATGCAGTAAGTCATGTCTTTTATGAATATGTTCTCTAAAGTTTGTGTGGACTAATTTTTTTAAAACCCAATTTTTACTTAGTAGTAGCTTACTATGTGATGTTTATGCTTTGTGCTAAAATGTGTCCTTGTTTCCTCTTCTTGCGCCCCGCCGTGGTGGTCTAGTGGCTAAGGTACTCTGTTGCTGACCCGCAAGTCACGGTATTGAATCCCGGCTGCGGCGGCTGCATTTTATGGTGGAGGCGGAAATGTTGTAGGCCTGTGTGCTCATATTCGGGTGCGCGTTAAAGAACCCCAGGTGGTCGAAATTTCCGGAGCCCTCCACTACTGCGTCTCTCATAATCATATGGTGGTTTTGGGACGTTAAACCCCACATATCAGTCAATGTTTCCTCTTCTTGCTGTGTCTGATATTACATTGTTTCTTTGTAGCAATACAATGTGCTTTTCGGTGGAGCAGGAAACAATCCTGATGAGCGGACACTTGAGGACAAGTTCTTTGAGCACGAGGTAAGTCTGAGCCAAGCATGTCCTATCCTATATGATGACTCAAGAGCATTTAAACTATTGCACATGAGGTCTTTCCTTAGTTGCACCAAAGCATGATAGTTTGTTGGACATTATGAAATGTCCGTATAAAAGGTTTTTGGTCCAGAAAATAAAACAATGCTCAGTTATACATAGCTGTCTGTTAAATGAACTACTCTACAGAAAATATTCTTGTTGGGTGCTATTTGAGCTAAACAAAAGGGGATGAATATGCATAGTCAATACAGTCTTGACAACAGCAAATGTGCAATACATTAATCATTATTCCTGCCTTTGTACTTATGTTCCAAATTATTGTAGCCCCCCCGCCCCGCCGCGGTGGTCTAGTGGCTAAGGCACTCGGCTGCTGACCCGCAGGTCGCGGGTTCAAATCCCGGCTGCGGCGGCTGAATTTCCGATGGAGGCGGAAGTGTTGTAGGCCCGTGTGCTCAGATTTGGGTGCATGTTAAAGAACCCCAGGTGGTCAAAATTTCCGGAGCCCTCCACTACGGCGTCTCTCATAATCATATGGTGGTTTTGAGACGTTAAACCCCACATATCATCAATTATTGTAGCCCAAACTTATCTCACTTGGCTGTAGTAATAAAGGCACCACTACTGTTTATTTGATAAGTACTTTTTCTTTTTGCTAATTTTTATCTGTGTCTGGCACACGTTGCTTTATATAGGCAACAGGGTAAGCATGTTTAATATGGGAACAATATGTTTCTCTTGGATATTGAATAGCAAGTGCGCTAACATTGAAAAGCTGTTGAAAACAATATTTACCAAAGTTGTTTTTTGGTTGAACTTTGTATTGAAGTACTTTGGCCATCTACTTAAAATAGTGATTGTTCTGCCTTTCTGGGGCAGGAGGCATTTCTGCTGTTCAGCATAGCACATCAAGTGCAGGTAGTCATATCACCCTCAAACACAACTTGGAGGGTGTGGCTGCCTGCACTTGTTGCATGACCTGCGAGCATTCATCAACATGAACACGGATGGATTGTGCATTGCGGTGCATTGTGGGATGCACCGAGAACGAGAGCTGTAGTGATGCATAGTGACTACATCTTCTTGGAATATCATCTTTTGTGCTTTGTAGCCATGCTAAACTTGTGGTGCTTATTAACCATGTTAAAATTATATCTATTATCACTGAAACAAACTCTTATCATAGCTTGTAGAAGACATTCTCAATCAATCTTGACATGCTTGTGTGTTTGTAGATTTTAAGCAATTGTTAGAAAGGCTCACTAATGGTAGACTAGGCGCAACACAGCAAAGCTTTTTTTCAGTATACGGTCGACTCTCATTAATTCAAACTCGAAGGGACCTCTGAATTTCGTTTGAATTATCAATAAGTTTTAATTATCAGAAGTTCTCAGGTGGATGACTATGGGTGAAGTTGCACCACACGTTATAATAAGGCATTGATTTTATCACATATAAAAATTTTTGAAGTGTTTTTAAGCCCTTACTCCTCGCAGTGAATAAAATTCAGAGGTGTAATGTCCACAAGTTTATTGGCCATTTATTGCTGATCAGACCTTTTAAAAAAATCGTGAATTGCCAACTGCTTTATTGCTATTGACTGGGAAATCGAGCAAAGTCGCCGCCTGGCGGTAACTGGCCGAACACGCAAAGTGTGGATTGCTTTGTGCAGGGTCTGCTAGCTACGTCGTGTTTCTATGTGCGCGTACGTCATGCACGTTTTGAAAGTGTGGTTTGTCCGGTCATGTCAGCACGAGTGTAACTGTTTCTATATATGCCTGAAACGACCTACGAAAGCATTTGGTTTTGCTCGGCTGCTAATGCATTGTAATAAGGTCGGCGAGTGCAACTTTCCAGAGTGCTGTTTATTGTCGTCGTACCCTACATTCACCAGAATAATTTCAGACTTGGTGCCGCTTTCTGTTTCAAGTACGTCGTGAAATCATGAGGACTATTAAATAATGTGTGAATGCAGCGTTTTATAGTGACTCGGCTGTAAAAAAAAGACTTTAAGCCATGGCACTTGCACGCTGTTGGTATGTATATAACTACGGCACTGTAGTTATCGATCATGAAGGAACCTTTGTTGTGTTTATCTGGCCGTGGTACCACTACATAGAAATACTATCACATAAACTGTGACACATCGGTACTTTAAACTGTACAGTGGACTCCCAATAAACGAAACACACTCAAATGAAAATGCCTCATTAATGGAACTAAACAGGCTCATATGGCTGTATTTCTGTGTGTTGCGCAGTAAAATTCATCCGTTAATCGAAACACTGCTTATTGGTCACCTAGAGGTGGCGCCGTTTTGTTTGGCTGGCCGCATACAGTGCTCCGCTTTCACGTGTTCTTGGCCCGTTACCGGGCCCCGCCCGTGTCTGGACAAGCTCACTATTCCTTCTAGAAGACTTCCGAAACGCGCCGACACCATCCGGGCCCCGGTCCGACCCCAGGCTGGCCCCCCAGGCTGGCCCCCCAGGCCCCTTCAAAAGTACGAAGCGGCGCGGCGCCGCGCCTGCACCTCCACGATGCAGAGTCCAGCCCAGCACTCGACACCAACGAGAACTGACGCCCTGTCGGTAAGCCCAGCCTCCTCTGGTCGTACTGCTGATACAGCCGTGCCTCCGCTGTCAACAAATAGGCAATGTCACCAGCCCCGCGCCGACAACAATACAGCAACAGGCAGCGTTCCTCAACAGTGCGCACGGTCCAGCAACGTGCAACGCTGGTGGCGTCTCTGCTACTCTCAGCTTGATAGCCACGCAAACGCCGGAGCCCGAGAGCCGTAATGCAGCATTGGCGTTGAAATCAACCACGCCTGCTGCTCTCCCCACCTTATCTGCGTCTGGCCTACCCATTGGAAATTCCGAGTCTGTCGACGAACGCGTTTCGACGAGCGTCGTTCCTTCCATCGCCGAAGTTTTGCCTTCCATCACTTCAGCTGACGACTTATCGACGGAAATGGACTTCGCGGCGTTGCAGGTCAACGAAGACAATACGCCATCCCCTGAAGGCAGCTGGAACACCGTTAGTGCCAATCGAAAACCTGCCTCGACCGCCTGCCACCGCTCCGAGCTCATCACCGTCAAAATCCAACTTCCACATGAAACACTCACGCCGAAACTGCCTCTCTATGACCTGCTTTCTACCATCATAGCTGCAAATCTCTCTCCCAAGACCAGTGCGGTGGTCACCCTTCAAGCCAAACCTGCTCAGAGCCTTGTGTTTCTGAAAATGCACTCGCCTCTCACTGCCCACCTCCTACTCTCCCTCACAAGTCTGGAACTTAATGGTAAGCTGACCACCATTAAGCCCTATGCCCCCAGTCCTCCAATATCATGCCTCGGCGTCATACACAACGTCGGTGGTCACTTCGCAACATCTCGGCTCTTGCATGACCTCAAATCCTTTAGTTCAGATATACTAGCTGCACGTATGATGGGTTCACTGAATCCGTCCTCATAACATTTGCTGGAATCATCATCCCTCGCTTTGTGTACTTCAAACGCGTCTCTTTCCGATGCCGTCCACATAAACCTAAGCCCCCTACTTGCACTCGGTGCCTTGCTATAGGGCACCGTGCTCATCAATGCCCCCAACACAGCATTCCGGCCAAGTGCCGCCGCTGTGCGTCTCCTCTACCAGCAGATCCCGATGCTCACGTTTGCGCCCTACCCTGGTGCTTCCATTGCCAAGTCAACACCCACTCATCTCTCGACTCCACCTGCCCCTACCTTTTAGCTAAGCAAGGCGACTGCCCTAAAGCAGCTTTTCTCCGTCGCACAGCCATGCGCCGAGCCACTCAGCCTTTGCCGCCCTCCTCTTCAGCGCATGAGTTCCTATCACCTCCCGCAACATCACCCCCGGGCTCTTACGCCGCTAAGGTTAAGGGAACACCTCCCATGTGCACTTCTTCATCAAACACACCTTCACCATCTTTAAGTAACGAGAGCCGCTCCTTCGATCTGTGACTGGCTATGTTGGAGCGCAACCAGCGCGAGCAACAACGCGTCTCGGATGAGCTACAACAGAAAATACTCGCACTGACGCAGACACTCGCAACTACCACATCCTCTCTTACCTCTCAACTCACGGAGCTAAATAAGCAACTCGCCACACTCACCGCCCTGACCTCCAGCTCCCATGTAACCAAATTGGCCGACATGGTCGAAACCACCACCACTGCGCATCACACTCGTTTGGTCCAGCTGGAAAATTCAATTGTCCGGATTCTTACGACCCTCGAAACCCAATCTAAGCAACTAGAATCGTTCACCTATATGCTTAACTCCCTGCAAGAGTCTCTTCCCCCGGCAAAAAAGAAGGAACGCGCACGCGTAGGCGCTTCCTCTACATCAAAGACCTAGATGGCGCGTGTTTTGGACCTCGATATTTTGCAATGGAACTGCCGCAACTTTCGTCATAATAGGACCCCTCTCCACCAATATCTTCTCACCCGCCAAACATTACCCAATTTTCTCCTTATACAGGAGACTCCGGCGGCCCTTGCCGTCCCGGGCTACCGTGCATATCACGCTACGACGGGAAAGCCACTTGCGTCCATTTATGTACACAATGACGTTCTCGTTGAACCACTAGACGTACCCTCCCCCCTCCTGAAACGTTTAGTTGGTGTGGTCTATTACCAACTATCTACCCGTATTTCTCTCGCTCTGATGTCCTTTTACAACCCCCCTGTCACGTCCTCTTTGTTTAGTGCTCTTGGCAAATTCCTGCACTTTTTTCCATCGACCACCCATATCCTCCTTGGGGGTTACTTTAATGCTCCTCATAGGCTCTGGGGTTACCCCCATACACTCAAACCAGGTCGCCTTCTACATTGCCTCGCCCAGGAATGCCATCTCGCCCTTCTTAATACTCCTGACACCCCTACTCGAGCGGGCACTGTTTCACAGCGTTCCACTACACCCGATCTCACGTTCTCTCGGAGTTCCCTTCCTTTTCACTGGCAGGTGTCC